GGTAAAACCGATCCTTGATTCTTCATACTTTGACACTGGAAAAAAACACAAAAAGGTCCCATTGATCATGAGAGTTTGGAGACTGCACACCGTGCTACCATTTGGGGACCCGCTACGATTTGAAAATGTAAAAATGCTTCCGGGAGGATTCAATTATTTATTTAAATTGTCACTTCGTGGCTGTTTTCCTTGTTAACTCTGCCTCGTGCAACGCTGCCAAAGCAGCAGCAGCAGCATCAGCATCACTAAATAATGTATGAATGTATAATTTTTCGGGTTACTTTTATTGTCGATGCTGCAACCGCGGTAGCAGCGGTGCACGACTACAAACTACAACAAACAATCACTCGGCGGCCTAAAAAGGGAAGAAACGCGCGGATAGAAGAATGGGCGACGTTTAAGTGGACAATGGTCACGCCACATCGCGGCACCCCCCGGTGGCAAACCCCACGCCAAACCCCACGCCGGGGACCCTGGGAAAAGGCCCCGCCAAAGCCAGAAAGCCACTCGAGAAAGAAAAAGCCACTTTTGGGACGCGGTCCCAAAAGCTATACTTGGTGTTTTTCATCTTGACAATTTATATATTTACCCGTGAAAGAGAGCTTCGTGGGTCATGTATAATTATATATTTAAAAATAAAATATAGAAATTCGAGCGCGTTATAGGAGCGTGCGGGAATTTGGGGAATTCGTCGTTGGGGCGGCGCCAGGTCGCACGCGGCGGCCGCATGGACTGGCGGAGTGGCGCGTGCGCTGCCCTCTCCGCCCCTGTCCTCTCCTCCGCTGCCCTCTCCTCCCTCTTTGCCGCTGCCCTCCCACACGTTGCCCTCTCCGCCCCTGTCCTCTCCTTCGCTGCCCTCTCCTCCCTCTTTGCCGCTGCCCTCTCCGCTCCTACCATCCCCGCCGTTGCCCGTTCCGCCCCTGTCCTCTCCTCCGCTGCCCTTTCCTCTTCTGTCCACTCCTCTCTCTCCGCCCGCTGCCCTCTCCACCCCTGTCCTCTCCTCCGCTGCCCTCTCCTCCCTCTTCGCCGCTGCCATCCCCGCCGCTGCCCTCTCCGCCACTGCCCGCTCCTCCCTCTTTGCCGCTGCCCACCCACTCGTTGCCCTCTCCGCCACTGCCCTCTCCTCCCTCTTCGCCGCTGCCCTCTCCTCCCTCTTCGCCGCTGCCCTCCCACTCGTTGCCCTCTCCGCCACTGCCCTCTCCTCCCTCTTTGCCGCTGCCATCCCCGCCGCTGCCCTCTCCGCCCCCGAGAGCGCCAACTGCCCCTGTGACATCGCACGGCCTGGAATGCGAAACCGCGGCTCCGCTCGTTGGTGAACGCGCCGCTTTGTCGGTGTCTCGGATTCATCGCCGGGGTGGAGAGGGAGAGGACGAAATGGTCTTCACTCTCTATCTCGCGAGCCATCACACCCCTCCGGGCATGAGCACAGTCCGTCCTCGCACGGTCCCTCCTCGCACGGTCCCCCTTCGCTCGTCACGGGACGAGCGAGGAGGGACCGTGCGGCGATACATCTGACAAAATCCCCGCCAACAAAACGTGAATTTGAAAGTGGCGATTTTTTTTAATTAGAGTAATAATAATGATTATAACGTTGACGATGCTGATATGTGCAAGCGATGCTATCTTTCACTGCGGGGTTTTTGTTTTTTTCATTTTTCTGGGGGCTGTCTGGCGTCCCCTACGTGACCCGCGTTTGAAACCTCCCCCCCCCTCTCCTTCCCCACCCGCGCGCCTCTGTCGCAATTTGTCTCGATAGTCGGGAGTTCAGCAGATCGTGCTGTATACTGTCGCCAACGCTGCTGCTACTACCACCACCATCATCATCACCATCATCATCATCCCAACTGCCATTGCCTCCATCAGCGCCGCCGCCACCACCACCACCACCGCAAACGCCACCGTCATTTGCTATTACTGTCAACACTACTCTTTACCACCACCATCATTACCACCACCACGACCACGACCACCACCATCATCACCATCATTAGCATCACCACCATCATAATCACCATCATCACCACCACTGCCATTGTCACCATCACCGCCACCACCACCATCACCACCACCATCATCACCACCATCTCCACCATCATCATCACCATCATCACCACCACTACCATTGTCACGATCACCACCACCGCCGCCACCACCACTACAAAGACCCCCTCCCGTGTAGCCTGTAACAGACTGTTTGGGGCAAGTGCTGTTAGCGAGCACCTATGAAGGCCGGCACAGCACACCAGGAGGTGGGTGGCCAGCACCACGCCCGACCGCCTTTGTCTCCCCAGTGGCGATGTTTACACTTCGCGCCATGTACTCGTTTGAGGCTGAGTCGACCTAGGGGAGGCCAAGGACCGGTTCGGATATTAGCCACCGTTATTGTTCGTGAGCAGGAATCGAACCCGGGTCACCGCGTTCGTAGTGCAGCACGCTAACCGCTGCCGCCACCATCACCACCACCGCTGCCACTACCATGACTGCTGGCCACACTACTTCTGCCACCAGCAACAACCACCGTCACCGCCAACGTCACCACCACCACCGCCACCACCACCAACCAACACGAGCGTCACCAGCGCCGCTATCGTCACCGCCACCACCACCACCACCCAGCGCCACCCCCCCCCCCCCCCAGGGCAAAGTTTCATGCGGCAGTGGCACGCACGGAGAGACAAACGCCGTCTTTGTGACGCCCTTCCTCCTCGGCGCGCCGCCGTGCCAGCGATCCGCGCCACGGGGCTTGTTGACTCCGAACGAACCCCGAAGGACACAGTCGACCCGACTGTTTACAATTAGCCATGGGGCAAGGCGGGCCCCATGGCTAAACGGATTTTTCTCCCACCCGACCCCCCACACCCCCACCCCCTCTTCTTTCTAAAATTAACTTTTTCCAGTAAATTTACACCGGGACCCCTTTTTGTTTCGTGCGCGCGGCACTTTTTTTTTTGGTAACATTTTTTTCCGGAGGCAACAAGTGGAAACGGCGGAGATTGGGTTTCGAACGTGGCGTACCTCCCACCCCACCCCACCCTCTCAACTCCCATCAGATTTTCGCTGGACGCAGGGGGCGGAGGGTGGCGGTGGGACATCTTGTTCGTTGGCTCCGGCCGTCAAAGAATTAGGCAATTTTTTTTTCGCTTTGGGGAGGAGGAGGCGTGCGTGGTGGTGGTGGGGGGGGGAAATGTCCACAAACTTCCACTTGAAAAATGTTACGGCCGCTCGCTCGCTCGCTCCTGCGGAGTTTTGGCGTCACAACAACACGGCAAGGGTCCCACCGCATCACAAAACGCTTTGAGGCTCGTTGGTTGCGATATGTTGCGTTGACATGCGGAATGACGCACGGCAAATTTGAGGGCTTTTGCTCTTTTACGTCGCGGGGGTGGGGAGAAAAACGATTTCCATCAACTCGTGGAAAATTTTGGGGGGGGGGGGGGTGTTTCTTTTTTTTAATCCGACACTCACGAGCTGCAGCGTTTAGCAACAGGAATAGCAACAACAACAATCACCACCACCAACAACAATAATAAGCCAAATGGAAAATCACTGAGCGTTGTAGATTTTCAAAATAAATTGTTTACCTGCAGAAGTTTTGAGACCCTGAACTTGCTTGTGAGATGGGAAGATTAGTGTGTATATATTTTTCTAGAAGTATATCAACCTTCGTACGAACCCGTTACAGGGCACGGCTACACAGCGGACCGGCATCATGAATGACCGGTGGTGCGATTTTTTTTCAATCGCTGCAAAATTATTATTTGTGTTCATACGTGAGAGCGGGCGAGAAGAGTGTGTGTGTAGAGTGGGGGGTGGAGGATAAATTCCAATGGGATGGAGGCTTGCAACACCGACCCATCGACGCGGGGATTTTTGGACAGATGCGTTTAGTCGCGGGGGGGGGGGGGGGGGTGGGGATTAATTTCTGCTGCTCGCGGCGCGAGGGTCACAAACTGCGCGCAACTGCCGAGCGCGGATAAAATTGATTACGATTTCAAATCAGTGCCACGTGTTTTTTGATGAAGGGGCCCATTCTGAATGAGCGCCTCACCCCCCCCCCCCCCCCCCCGCGAGCTGTGTGACATTAATGCGGTGTCACAGTTCTCCCCAGCCCCACGGGAGGGTTAGGGAGGGGGGGGGCCTTTTAAACTCAACTATTTAATTTTACCAGGTAAGGCCCGACTGAGTTGCGTAGCCACAAACGATTACGCGGCCATTTATAGCAGCAGCCGAATAACTCCGAGTGCGTGATGTTTATTCTGAATGTGGAGGGGGGAAAACCAGAAGACCCAGAGAAAAAATATCGACGCGACCACGGGGAGAGAGGGAGGGACACGCACACTCCAAATACACAGCAGGCGTCAGGGTTGGGATCGAACCCACGACCTCTTGCATACCAGGCGAGGTAGTTAACATCTCCTAGCCACCGCGGCGCTTAACGCACGAGATTTAGTAACGTTTCTTCTCCAACCAGGGGATGAAACCGCGGGCCAGTCAAAGCGACGCGTGATCGATTGTCTTTTGTATTTAACAAGGGCGACGCGCGGAGTTACGTGGAAGTCGTTTCGGTTTTATTGGCCTCGTTCGAGGGACAGGCGACGGAGAATTTATATTCCAGGATCGTTGCCGCTGGCGGCCTCTCGGTGGCACCAACTCCGAGCCCCCCCCCCCCACCGGGTCAAAGCAACTGCCCCCCCCACCACCACCCCCCCACCCCTCCATCACCTTCTTCTGTCCCCAAGTGAAACCGTGGCCCGCTTACCGCAACTCGGCCAGGACTTGAACTGTGCTCCGTGGCCGGCGGCACGAGAGAGTGAGGTAGCGGCGGCAGGAGGTGCCAGAGGACGCGAGCAGGTGGCAGGGGAGGTTCATGGAGGGGAGGTTGATGGAGGGGAGGTTGATGGAGGGGAGGTTGATGGAGGGGAGGTTGATGGAGGGGAGGTTGATGGAGGGGAGGTTGATGGAGGGGAGGTTGATGGAGGGGAGGTTGATGGAGGGGAGAGCGGAGAGGTCAGGAGGGTTTGGATGGTGAGTCAGGCGCTGTACGTCCATCAAGGGACGATTTAGATAGCAAGTTAAATCGCGGCTGGAAACAGAGAGAGAGGGATGTGAATCTCCAGGTTTGTAGGTTAACTCGGATTTGGCTGCCACTTTGGGCTGGTGGCTGATTTCCCTGGGCCTGTCCGCATGCTTCGTGGGCTCGGGACCGGATTCGCCACGCGCTGGGATTCCGGCCGAGCAGGAATTACACCGCCCAAGACGTAGTGGGCAGTGGGAACGTTCAAGCTAACCATGAATTGAACAATTCATTGTCTCGGCGATGCGGTTACCGGCAGGCTGTTCGCCCGCAGGAATTTTCGGGTCTTGCTCGGGAGTCATGCTGGTAAGAAATGTGCCCATCTCATGACATCACGAAATGGAACTTTACAGAAAGAAAAAAAAAACCTTGATATGCCTGTGTTCGATTAACGAAGTTTGGGTGTAACGAAATTAGGTTTTGTTATACCATTATTTTACACAGAAAGCTAAAATGTAATACATAAATAGACACACTTAAATTAATACATAAATAATACATTCATCGATCAAAAGCACGAGACAAATAAGAATACAATAATGTTTCTTCACTGTTACTTTTTTTAATTGTTGTCAGTTTTTTTTGTTTTAACACTGCACGGTATAAAATATTAATGTCAATATAAATTGCATTTGTTTACAATATGAATGGTAAGTTATTAAGTATTTTATAGTATGAAAGGGTAAGTTACGAAGGCTGAGAACGCATCCTCATAGTGCTAATGATATAGGTGATTCAATGTACGTTGTTTCAACATACGAATTAAGTTCCAGGAATGCATCTACTTCGTATATAGAGGTATTTATTGCTGTATTTAAGTCAGCTGCGCCCGTCCATCGGGTCAACTTGAGTTGACCGTCCCAGGGTAACTCGGCGGAAGAGGCGAAAAAGACGCGCAGATTGAGAGGAAAGAGGAGAGAGAGGAAAGAGGAGAGAGAGGGAGAGAGAGGGACAGATGGAGAGGAATAGAGACGCGCGAACGGGCCGGAGGAGAGAGCGACAGCACGGAGGAGGGGGAGAGAGGGGCCAGAGATGTCGCGAGGAGGGACGTGGAGGAGAGCGACTGTGGCGGTGTCCGGGAGAAAGGGGAGAGACACGCAGTAGAGAGAGAGAGAGAGCCGGAAAGGGAGATACGCGTGAGATGGAAGAGAGATGGGGATAAGAAAGCACAGAGGCTCGAGATGGAGAGAGGAACGACTCAAAAGGCACGCAGATGGGAAGAGCAGTGGAGAGACGGGGAGGGAGAACGTGTGTTGGAAGTGCGCTGAGTTTGTTCTCCTTCCTCCGCACTCGCCATTAGCACGGTTGACGACGTGCGGTGGTGCGGAAGACGTCCAAAAGACGAACAAACATAACATGCAGGGACGGAGAGCGATGGAGAGAGACGAGGCACACACCTAGAGGCGGGCGAGAGAGGGGGGGCGAGGAATTAATACAGGAGAGTCGGAGAGTGAGACAAGAGAGAGAGAGAAAGGTAAAGAGGTGAGAGAGTTGTGACAGAGGCGAAGAGAAATCGAGAGACAGCGTGAAGACGGAGAATTCGCAGAGACACGGAAGGGGGACGAACTCGACTATCAAGATGAGAGAGAGAGTGCAACGTGAGTACGAGACTCTCACACACACGCGCAGGGAGAGAGGGAGGCTCGGTAAGATGACGGGGAACAACACAGAGGATCAGAGAGAGAGTGCTGGATCATCGCACAGAGAGAGTTGGTGTGTTGGTGGTGTTGGTGGTGCAACACCGGCGACGATTATCTGAACCGATCCCGGGCCTTCCCTTAAGTCGAGTCAGACCTCAAACGACTTCGCCCGGTGCTCGTGTAAACATCGCTGCTGGGGAGACAAAGGCGGTCGGGCGTTGTGCCTGCCACCCCCCCCCCCCCCCCCGCCTCGTGTACCGTGCCGGTTTCCAAAGGTGCTGCAGTGCTCGCTAACAGCACTTGACCCCCAAAAGTCTGTTAAGGCTACACGGGGGATCTTTGTCTTTGGTGGTGGAGGAGGAGGCGGGGGGGGGGCTCTCTTCCTCTTCCCCGCTCGGAGCGTGAGAAGGAAGGGGGACGGTGACGCGGCGGGGCCAAGGCGGTTCCTGTGCCCCCCCCCCCATCCACCTCCTTCACCCACCACACCCCCCCCCCCCCATCCTCTTACACCCACCCACCTCCCCATCCTCCCACCCACTACCACCACAGCACCCCCCCCCCCCCCATTCTCCTCCACCCACCACAGCACCCCCCCATCCTCCCCTTGCACCCACCCACCTCCCCATCCTCCCACCCACCACCACCACAGCACCCCCCCATCCTCCTCCTCCACCCACCATCGCAGCTCCCCATCCTCCTCTTACACCCACCCACCTCCCCATCCTCCTCCCACCCACCACCACCACAGCACCCCCCCCCCCCCATCCTCCTCCTCCTCACTCAGTTGCAGAGCTTCTCTGAACGCGACAGTGAGCTCACTGCCGTGTTTCCCCAACGCGTCTATAACGTGTGCATGGGGGTGGGGGGCTGTGTTTTAAAATCGTGTAACATTTAGGTCCTCTTCCACGCAGTTTGCCAATCCATTCCGTCGACATCCTCCACAGCAACATCAGCAGCAGCAGCAGTAACTTCGACTACTCTATTAACTTGTTTTACGTCCTAATATATATTCAGTTTGTTGAAATATCTCGTCTCGAAAAAAGAAAAGCAGCAGCTGCAGCAAATAGAAACTTTTAATCCCGAAGAAGGGGAGGGGAAAAAACGGCGTCGGTGGAAATGTTCATTTTAAAGGGGAGCCAAAGCAAATAATGAAAGTGCGGAGATCGCTGTCGAGGGTCAAAGAGAGAACGGGCGGCAGCGGAGATGCGGACGGGAGCGAGCGGTCAGGAGCGGTGGCGGTAGTGGTGGCGGTGGTGATGGTGGTGGTGGGAGCGGTGGTGGTGGTGGCGGTGGTGGGAGCGGTGGCTTCGGCAGGCGAGGCGAGGCGCGCATGAAGACGAACACTCGGGTGGGGGGGAAGGGACGGAGAGACGAGGCCTGCCGCTGCTGCTGCTGCACCACAGGTGTGTGTGTGTGTGTGGGTCTGCGTGTGTGTGGGTCTCTGTGTGTGTGTGGGTCTCTGTGTGTGTGTGGGTCTCTGTGTGTGGGTCTCTGTGTGTGTGTGTGGGTCTCTGTGCGTGTGTGGGTCTCCGTGTGTGGGTCTCTGTGTGTGTGTGGGTCTGCGTGTGTGTGTGGGTCTCTGTATGTGTGGGTCTCTGTGTGTGTGTGGGTCTGCGTGTGTGTGGGTCTGCGTGTGTGTGTGGGTCTGCGTGTGTGTGTGGGTCTGCGTGTTTGTGTGGGTCTGCGTGTGTGTGTGGGTCTCTGTGTGTGTGTGGGTCTGCGTGTGTGTGTTTGTCTGCGTGTGTGTGTGGGTCTCTGTGTGTGTGTGGGTCTGCGTGTGTGTTGGTCTGCGTGTGTGTGTGGGTCTCTGTGTGTGTGTGGCTCTGCGTGTGTGTGTTAGTCTCTGTGTGTGTGGGTCTGCGTGTGTGTGGGGGTCTCTGTGTGCGTGTGGTAGTCTCTCTGTGAGTCTGTATGGGTCTGTGTGTGTGTGGGTTTCTGTGTGTGTGTGTGGGTCTGCGTATGTGTGTGGGTCTGTGTGTGTGTGTGGGTCTCTGTGTATGTGGGTCTCTGTGTGTGTGTGGGTCTCTGTGTGCATGTGGTAGTCTCTCTGTGTGTGTCTGTGTGTGGGTATGAGTCTGTGTGTGTGTGGGTTTCTGTGTGTGGGGTCTCTGTGTGTGTGTGCCGGAGGCCCCGGGGGGACAGGCGTCTATGACGTCTCCTGGCCAAACCCCAATTGGCGGAGCCAGGAGATTGAATCTCTACCCTCGGGGCTCCTCCAGAAACAACGAAAAGCCACTACGGATGGCCACGTGGAATGTTCGAACACTCACTGCGGAGGAGAGGCTGCCACTCCTCTGTCGGGAGCTGGACCGGTACCGCCTGGATCTCTGCGGCATTCAGGAGGTCCGGTGGACCGGTTCTGGCTCCTGCCACCATGAGGGGTGGACAGTCCTCTACTCGGTGCAGCAGACTGCCAAACAACAGGGTGTGGCTCTTTTGAACAAAAGAATGAAGGCGTGGGAGCGTGGCTGTGAGGTGTGGGAAGCTGTAAGCCCCAGGCTACTTTGGGCTCGGCTTCCCATCAACCGGATGCGAGGAGTGGTGGTCGTGGTTACTTATGCCCCCACCGAAGACGAACATCTGTGGAGGGATGCAGGAAAAGCCGATGAGTCAGATGCCTTCTATGACCTCCTGTCACAGGTGCTGGCTAAAGTGGTACCTCGGGATAGAGTCATCATGTTGGGTGACTTCAATGCCCGAGTTGGTCATGATGCTGGCACCTGGTCTGGAGTGATTGGAGGGCATGGGCCAGATCAGCTCAATAACAACGGTAGGAGGCTGCTAGATTTTTGTGCAGCCCATGGGCTTATAATTACCAACATGCTGTTCCGGCATCGGCGCATTCACACAACATCATGGATGCATGCCGGGTCCAAGCAAGAACATCTGCTGGACTACATAGTGGCGGACCAGCGGATGGGAGCCCATGTCCTTGACACCAGGACCTACCGTGGAGCTGATCTGCCCTCTGACCATCGACTAGTCATCTGTAAGATGCGCCTGCCATTGTTCCACTCCGGTGGTGGGTGTACACCCAGGACCCCATTCCAACCTAAAGTGGCCTGGTCTCAGTTATCTGATGAAAGTTGCAAGCGAGAATTTCATCATTGCTTGCGGCTGGGATTGGCATCGTCCCCGACTCCTCCTGATGTCGAGGGTAAATGGGCGATGTTTAGGACTGTAACTCATGCAGCTGCAATGGCTGCTTTGGGTACGTGGTCCAGACCTCCCCAGAGACCCTGCCTGACAGAGGAGGTGTTCAGGATGGTTGAGAAAAAGCGACAGGCCCACTGTCATCGGCTACAGAATCCCACGTCAGAGAATGAGGCTTACCGCAGCCTTCGTTCGGAGGTTTGGAGAGCCGTGAGGCGCTGCAAGGATGGATGGTGGTCGCAGGTTGCTGAGGAGATGGAGTCTGCCTCAGTGGCCCGCGATCACAAATCTCTATTTAACTCCATCAAAAAAGTAACCTGCAGCGCCACACCTATTACCATCATTAGGGGGAAAACGGTGATGCAATCTCCGACCCCCAGGAACAGGTTTGCAGATTTGCTGAGCATTTCTGTGAGGTCCTGGGGGAGGGAAAATCCCTCAGCCAGGAAAACATCGTGGCATAAAGTGAGGATGACCCTGCTGAGGCTGTGGTGCCTTATATATTGGAAGAAGTCACCCCCTGTGAGTGGCTGGCTGAGGTGCCATCTGTTGAGGAAGTACTGAAGGCGATCCGGAGTCTGAGACCAGGAAAGGCAGCGGGCAGAGATGATCTCCCAAGCGAAATGCTGAGGGAGGGTGGCGTTTGTGCACAGACTGCCCTATATGACATCATAGCAACAGTCTGGACCACTGGACGGGTTCCGCAGGATTGGAAGGATGCCCTGGTGGTCCCCCTCTTTAAAAAGGGGGACCGCACAGACTGTAACAACTACAGGGGCATCTCACTCCTCAGTGTGCCGGGAAAGGTCCTGGCAAGGATTATTCAACATCGCCTTGCCAGGCATGCTGAGGAGAGGCTTGCGGAGCCCCAATGCGGTTTCGGGAAAGGGCGGTCCTGCACAGATGCCATATTTTCTGTCCGTGTAGGGAATTCCAGCAAGACCTACATCTCTGATTTATTGACCTGGTCAAGGCCTATGATACCATCAGTAGGCCTGGGCTCTGGGTTGTTCGTCGTGCTTTTTGGAGTACCTGACCCTCTGCTCACGATTATTAAGGACCTTCATGATGGTGAGCGGGCCCGGGTAAAACTACGTGGCCGGAAGTCAGAGCCATTCCCTGTACACCTTGGGGTGCGACAGGGACGTCCTCTGGCTCTCACATTATTTAACATCTATTTTGACCACGTAGTTCGTGAAGCCTTCAATAGCTGTACCGGGAGAATCTCCATATGGTACAGATATAATGGGAGGCTGATCGATGCCCGGGTGCGGTCAAGGGATGGCTCCCTATTGCTCAACCACGTTATGTATGCCGATGATTTGGTAATAGCTGCTCATTCAGAGGAGGAGTTGGAGACGCTGCTGCTGAGACTGGAGCGTGCTACTAAGAGATGGGGCCTTACCATCAGCCCCACCAAAACTAAGAACCTGCCTGGGTATTTTGTACCATCGGACACTCCACCCCCACAACTCCCAATCGGTGATGGGGCAGTTATGGAGAGAGTGGAGAGTTTCCCATACCTGGGCAGTGTGCTTATGACCGGCTCCGGTTTAACAGCAGAGGTCTCGCTCCGAATCAGTCGAGTGGCAATATCTTTTCATCGGTTGCGTAACGCTGTGTGGAAGCTACCTGGTCTGTCGCTCCGCATTAAGCTTCAGGTCTTCTCTGCCACGGTCATTCCCTCCCTTCTCTACGCTTGCGAAACGTGGACCCCCTTAATGGAGCATCTTCACCGATTGGAAACATTTAGGCTAGCCTGCCTACGATCCATCCTGGGTTTAACCAGCAGGCTGGATTGTGTG